AAATTCCGGCTGACTTCGTCATTCCTTCTTGAATTTTTTGCGAGCCACCGGTATGTGGGAGGTGGGAGGTCACCTGGAAAAAATCTGTTGGGTTGCTGGGAGGAGGGGAGGGTAGGGGTTGGGGTAGGGGTGGGGTTGGGGTGGGGGTACCCCTTTTAGCCCTTACCCCGTACCCCCCAGGACCCTTACCTCGTACCCCTTTTATACCCCATAGAGTATATACCCCCTAAGGGGTATGGCAGAGTATACGGTACACCCCAAGCCTGCCCCATCGTCTCCCGAAGTCCAGTCATGTTCTTCCAATTCGAGTGGCGATGCCGTCACGACCTGGCGGTGGTGACTGCGCCTCCCGCTCCATCAAAACGAGACTCCTTCTTCGAGGATGCTCGGGCGGGCATCCGCAAGAAGTTCGCCCATCTGTTGATGTGGATTCATACGTAAGAATCGATTTCTAGAAGCTGTATAGCATTTTTTTTAGCCAAAACCGTCAGCCATCTCGAAGGAGATCGAGTTGTCGCTCAAATGTCTGCACGAGCAGAGGGCCGAGTTCAGATCGGTTTGTACGAGGTATGGGTACGAGATATTTTTGAATAAATTATTTTAGAATTACTTACGGATATCCGCGACTTGGCGGCAATGGCGCACTTGTTGAAGTCGGGACGATAGATGTTCAGCATAGGGATCTTTCGCCTCATGGAACGAGCAATCAGACGTTGACGATCGTTGCAGGTGAGATAGACGGAGATAGTGAGAACGATAGGGTGGGAGAGAGTGGGAGCGCGAGAGAGAAAGAGGGAGCGAGGGGGAGAGAGCGATAGAAAGAGAGAGAGAGAGAGCGAGAGAGATACTGCAAACCCCACTTTTTCTAGGCTGCGACTTGAACTCCAACAAGTCATTTGGAAAAGTGGTGACCAACTCGAGCGATTTGCTGAAGGCACTTTCCGATAATATTGAGCCGGACTCCATCATTCGCACGAATATCTTCAACGAGCCGGTATCAGATCATCTACATTTCTTCAAAGCAATTTTAGCAATACGAAGTCGGCAAAAGTCTGTTCTCCAAGTACATCCCGGTGAACGAGCAGGAGTTGAGGTGAGCTTCTGGAAAACATACCACCCGGTTTATGAATTTTGTCGGATATGGATTTTAGGAAATTTTCTGGAAATTTCTAAAAAACAAAGATTTTTCGAGCAAGAAAGGCCGATTTTCGATTAGTATTTTCACGAAGAAATTTTTCCTAGGTTTTTCTCGATTATTTGTAATTGAAATCTAGTTAAATCTGACTAAAACTAGTAAAAGTAAGAAAATTACGCGATTGGGAAATTCTGGATACATAGGAAAAAATTCGCGTCGGAAAGGCCTCCAAATGCCATGCAAAAAATTTTGGCAGTCTTACAAATGCCGACAGGATGACATTTTGGACATTCTGAATTTCGAAATTCTCATAATAAACAAAATCGACAGTAACCCGATTTTCCAGGATCCGCTTCACTGACGGTGGCAAGAGCGCGATCCAGCAATTCCGCGAAAAACTCGGTCAACCCTCCGACGACACCAGTACGGCACATGACGTCGAGGAGTGGCTGTCGGAATTTGTGGTCCGCAAAAACGAGGGCGCCAACTTCCAGAATGCCATGTTCAAGTATATACGCCAGATCCCGAACCGATAATTAATTGATTCGCTGCCTATGACCTCACGGGAAATCTCCTTGCCTTTGTACAGAACGTGTTTTCTGAACAGAACATTTCTTACTTTATTCATTTTTATGTGTTGAATAAATCTTATTACGATACGAATCAGCCATATTTTTCTGGTTTTAAGCCGGACTTTTACTTAAGAAATTGAGGATGGGTGGACGAAGTTTTTGCGTTTTTTTCTCGAGTTTTAAGCTTGCAAAAACTGTTCTTCAGCATGTTCCCGAATTTCGATTCGCCTGGCACTTCCGCTTCATCAAGCGCTTTGAACGACCAGATCAAAATGGAGCTACCCGACGTTCGAGATGATCAGCTACCAGAATTTAAGGTGCGCAGAAGGTTTCGTTCTAGATAGCTTTCTCAATTCTATACAGTAGAATTGCGCGAAATTACGCAAATCTGAAGAAAAAATTTCTTTAAAAAATAGTTAATTCTTTTTAGCCAGACGTCGAGCTGTTTCCTTTGGCGGATGCTTCGGAGGATTTCAACCAACCGTGTTCCAGTGGTGAACTGGTACGTTTTTCTCTTTTTCTTTCTCTTCTTTTTCTCTCTGTCTTTATCTCTCTCTCTCTCTCTCTCTCTCTCTCTCTCTCTCTCTCTCTCTCTCTCTCTCTCTCTCTCTCTTTCTCTCTTTCTCTCTCACGTTTCTCTCGCCCGCCAAAAATAACTTTTGAAAGTATCCCGATTTTCAGGCCGAACACTTCACCGGCAAGACGCTACAAGAGCTGATGGCCCTCTACCTTGAAGGCCTCACCGGCAAAAAGGCTTGTAACGCCGAGCCCGCCCCGCCAGTCGAGCATCCGCCCCGCCGCTCCTACGACGTCGGGTTTAAGCTCGAGGTGGCCGCCTTCGCCAAGGCGAACAGCATCCATTCGGCGTCGCGGAAGTACGACGTTGCTAGGAAGAACATACAAACTTGGATCCGGCAGCGCGAGGTGTTGCAATACGAATTTGAAGAGTGAGTTCTATACTTCGCCAACCATCCCGGGTGGTACCACCCCTAGGGGTGGTTGGAGGGTGGGGGGGGTGGTTGGGGGTGGTCGTGGGGGGTGGTTGGGGTGGTCAGGGGTGGTTGGGGGTGGTTGTGGGGTGGTTGGGGGATGGTTGGGGTGGTCAATGCAATAGCCACCCCACCCCACCCCCTACAAAATTTTTTCATGATCTGGCAATAAAACTTTTTGGTCTTCCGGCTACATTGTCTTTGAGGGACCATATCTGACTCGAACAAGCTTTTATTGCCAAATCATGAAAAAATTTTGTAAAGGGTGGGGTGGGGTGGCTAATGCATTGACCACCCCCAACCACCTCCAACCACCCTCTGACCACCCCCACGACTACCCCCAACCACCCCCACGACCACCCCCCGACCACCCCCAACCACCCCGCCCACCCTCCAACCACCCCTAGGGGTGGTACCACCCGGGGTGGTTGGCGAAGTATAGTGAGTTCATTTGACTCGCGTTTTTGCTGGTTTTTGAATTCAGAATTTTATGATATTTCTATTTCCAGAGATGACCAAGCCAAACGAAAGCGACTCCTCGGTGCCGGTCGCCGAGTACGCGACGACAAGCTGGAGAACGACCTGGTGACGTGGATCTGCGAACGGCGCGCTTCTGGCCAGGCCGTTAGCCGATCGCTGCTACAGAAGCAGGCCATCAAAATGTCGACTGATCCGAGCTTTAAGGTATGAATTCGTAATGAAAGGTAGAATTGCCCAAAATACGTTCGAAACTTCTTAACCAACCCACTTTTTCAGGCCAGCAACGGTTGGCTTGAATCGTTCCTGAAGCGCAACAAAATGGTCCAGCTGTCCGAGGGAATTTTCTTGATATGAACGAGACTTACTCCCGCATATTTATTGCCTCTTTTCTACCGAATGTACAATACGCTACATTTGTGATAATTTTTGAAGTCGTCATTACGTGTAGAATTTGATAAAAATTTGTTCAAGTGATTTTACGTACTGAAGCAACATCGGATCTCGCTCGCATTCTCTCTCTCTCTCTTTCCCTTTCTCTGTCTCTTTTCGTCGCTCTCCCTCGCTCTCGTCCCACTCTCTCGCTCTCTTGTGCTCCTACTCGCGCTCGTCCTCAATCTATCTCCCCCGATGTCTGTATCACTTTCTCTTTCTCTCGCGCGCTCTCTCTCTGTCTCTTTCTCTCTCTCTCTCTCTCTCTCTCTCTCTCTCTCTCTCTCTCTCTTTCTCTTTTCCAACTGACCAGTCCCCCAATTATGCCCCGTATAAGCAGAAGAAGCAGTGTAGTAGCCGAGACCAATTTCGGACACCCCAGATATTATCGCACCAAGTGCTGGACCCCAGAAGCGGAAGGATTTTGGGAAGTATGAGAAGAAGCAAGCATTGCTCCCTCTGTCTCTCTCTCGCTCTCTCTCTCACTCCCTCTCTCTCTCTAGGTCGAGTTGTTCGCCCCCGTGTCTGAAATGCTCCGAAATTGTAAAAGGGCCCATAAATACCCACATGTCTCCTGGGTATGTTGTCTTGTCTTGTCCAAACGTCCACTCAGAGACACACCGGGTGCGAAATATACTCCCGCATCCCTCAACACCTCGGCGCACAAATCATCGGGTCAAATTTCGAGCTCTGGGATTTTTTGGTCTCCACTAAATTGGAGCTGAACTTCTGAATTTCATCGTGGCGACCCTCACCAGGCAGCTGTCTACCGTACCCAGTAAGTTGACCAGGGGCAATATGTTTGTGAGATTAAATAGATATTATTTTTTGTACGATTCTTACCAAAAGATGAGGTTATTAAATAGACGCTTTAATGTAATATTTGCAACAGAATAATTGGAGACAACGACCGCTTTGAGCATTCATAAAACTCAAAAAAAATCCGAAACGTGGTACGATTAACCTGCTGCGTATTTTACCGAAACCGTGACAAAAAAACGAACCGAAAAGAGAATTATCTATTTTAAAAACCGTGTAACTAAAGCAGTACTCGCAGAAATTCTCAACTGATCATTTAACTTTTACATTTACACTTAACTACTTGAGTTTAACTTGAGAGTGAGTTTTGCCCTTTTAGCGGCGATTTTGAGTCCAAAATATGCCCGTTTTAAGTTTTTGCCATAATTGCTCCTCGAAGCTTCGGATCTACAGCGACCAATTTTCGTTTCTAAAACCGATTTCGCGACGTGTTCAGCTAGAAAACGCAAATATTTTACCTCAAAACCCGACATGAGCTCGAGAGCTACGTTACATGGCAAAATACGGTGTATTGCTCGCAGCGGGGCTGACCTAGCATAGTTTTCAAGCCTCTTAGTGGTCTGGCGAAAGGTAGCTTGGGCCTTTCCGTGCTTGGTACTTGAATTCTCCTCGTGGTAGCAGTGGTAGCGCTCCTTGGCCGATCTGCCGCCATTGTCGATGCCCAATCTCGGAGATGTGTAGAATCAAGGGGGTTCCAGTTCCTTTAAAGCCTGCTGGCCATGGTATCGACTTGTAGCGTCTTGCCGAACCTAACATACGCACTTCGGACGACTTCCTAGATTTGGCTCGCCGCTCACGACTTCAGCCACCCTACCCCTTCCAAAACCCGCGTCAAAAGCCCTGTTGACAGCTCGTAAACGGTGGCAATTCTGCCTGGGGGCGCAAGTATGGAACGGGCTAGAAGACGCTCCACTCATCCCCTATTGACGGCCCATTCCACGCACCCCTCCACCACCATTCCACGCTCCCATAAATGTTCCAAAAAGTCGGAGACGACCAAGGAGAAGACTCCCCAGAAAACGGGGGGGGGGGGTGCGCCATGGGTGGCCCTTATGAGTTATGAGCACGAATTTAAGAGGTGGTCAGGGTGAGGGACTCATTTGGCTTTCGGCTTTGAGTTTGAGCTAATAACCTCTGTACTACGCTACGATACCCTGACTACGGTAGATGTCGGTGTACAATAGGCGGGACACAGCGTTGGACGTCATCGAGGTGTTGGGTAAGTTTTTCGCTCTGGATTTTTTTTGCAGCCATTGCAGGGCATGCCGAATTAAACCTGACTGAATCGAGGACAAACTGGCTTCAGAATGCCTTTTATTAAGTTTTTATCAAGCAACCTTACCGGACCTTTTATGCAAATATTTGCTTGACCGGTTTTCCTGACGGGTTCAGCTAAGTTTTCCGTTAAAATACGCCCTAAAACATTCGCTTTCATGACGCTTACAGGGCCAGTTTTGAAAGTTGTGCTCTACATTAATGAACGAATGAAAGTTGCGCGGTTCATTCGCTACGGTGTTGTTGTTGAAATTTCGGACTTGGTATTTAGAACATAATTACAGCCTTCTTGCCATCAGTATGCCGAAAATAATTTTGCCGAAGTTTCGTTTTGTCTAAATTTCATTTGGTCGATGTATACTCATCGGCAACCTGTAGAAAATAATAATTTTCAGCGTTTTGAGACTGCGGCAAAATGGTTTTCGACGTCCTAATTTTCCACAAAATGACCCTCCGATCCTGGCCGCATAGCTGGCTTTTGAGCCTTTAGGCCTGCGCCCAACACTGGGCTACTCATCCGTATCATCCGATTTCTTCCAAGGGCAGCGACACTATAGAAGAGTTCTAAAATTAGGCGGGTCTACAGAATGGATCTTTTTTTTTAAACTTTATTTTATTAGCAAAAATAATAATTCATATCGTCAAGAAATTCGAAAAAGCGACGCTCCTTTAAAAACCCCTGGAATTGGTGAATTGAAATTTTTTTTAGTCCAGTATTGAGACGGCAGGTTTCCAGTGGCACCGAATTTCAAAAATGGGTTGAACCGTATACGCAATGAAATTAAATTCTACGTCTGCTAGGGAACCTATTCACGAATTTTCCGACCTAATAATAACACTATCAGTTTTCCTACTCCCTCTAGCGTTGTTTATCATGGTCATTTTTAGCTAAATAATCTCCCCATATCCCGGCTGAATTTCTAAGATTCCTGGTGGGTGACCCAGGACCACATTCCTGCCCTAGCGACGACTCATCGGCAATCCGGGGCTTCTTCTGCTTTTTAGAGGGAGCTCTTGTCACGGCATCTGGATAGCTGGAAGTCTTGGCTTGTGTGGTGGATATCCCGGACACACGAGGGGGACACGCCCTACTCAACCACCCATCTCCACCCACCCATCCCCCCCCTTTTATTCTAGTGGCACCAACACATGCAAAGCAAAAACCAGGAATTTGGCTGTGTGCTGAATTGATTCCAATTTTGTCGTCAGGCCTTTAAACTCTATTTTCTGGCCTTTTAAGAAACATTGAAACTTTTCAAAAATCTTTTTCAAAAGCAGCAAAGCATCCAAAGCGCAAAATCAAAAATTTCGCCTGCCGCTGGAATTGATTCCGTCTAACGTTTAGCTCCTTTAAACACTGTTATCGCTGTTGTTGTAAGTTATCGCTGAATGCTTTCCCGGGCCATTCCTCAAAGATTGCTGCTAGCACACGGCTTTTGTAAAACATGCTGATTTTGTTTTCCGTAGAAATTAAAATACCCTTTTCTGTAGTTTCCAGCGGATTAGCTTTTAATGGAGAAAAGACGGCCCTTAAAATTTCCCGAAATCTTTGTTAGGCTCTTTGTTTCTGGCAGCGGCACACATATTCCAAAAATCGTCCGTGGACTCACTCTTTTTTCTAAACGCCAATTCTTGCTAAGTCTTGAAAGATCTCCGCTGGCATGCCCCTTGGAAAATGCAATATTTTCGTAAATTTGCAAACACGATGGAACTGCATGTCAGTCTTGCTGACCCAAATTAGACTAATGGTGTTATTTCATTCCGTTAAAGATTTCATAGGGATTTTTGTTTGGATCTAGGATTTTATACGAAGCAAAATGAAGAAGAACTCTGTGACGCATGCTTGAGCGGCGCCAAGGATAACCCTATTTCCTAAGGTATATGTCGGGCGCGCTGTAAGTCATTTTCAGAGCACGTTCTTTTTTTTGAATAATTTTGTTTTGACTAGGGGAAGTAATTTTCTAACTTTTTCGAACCCTCAAAATTTTAAGTAAAAGAATCTCACGTTCTCCATCTCGATGTCTGGTTAAGGTGACCGCAAAAACTCTTGTTTCCGGTGCTTTTTTTTGGTCAATTTCCGGCCCGCGTTCTGAATTTTCCTAGCCTAATCCTCATTTTTGCATTATATCCCTATAGTGGTCTTCACATCGACATCCGCCGGATTTCCATCCCCAAGAAGACCCCATCTGCCGACCGGATAATCGTGTTGGCCACTCGGGCCATTCATGGGGCCACCGTAACCACCAACACCCCCCGAGAAGGCCCAGATTCAAGAAACCGACAACAGTCGTGTTGCGTAGCCCCAGGATTTTCAAGAAGATATGGGCTCCACGGCGGCGTCGGCAACGTTCCACGCCTATGGACAGTTGATTGGTGGCAGTCCGGCGATACATCCGTTGATACGATCTTCGTCTATTCACCCATCTGAGAAACGGAGATCCGACAAGACCACTGACGGTTGGTTGAAAGGGGTTATCGAATTTTTGTGTGGGATTTTATTTTTTAAAACCGTGTCGGGAAAACAACATTTTTTGAAAATTCATGCATACCTACGTCAAATATATCGTAGCGGAACAATTTTTTTATCATTATTCGGCTCGCAAGATCTAGGATAGCTTGCAACAAGGGTTTCACTCATATTTCTGGACTTTTGAGGCTTCGACATCTTGCTTAAATGCTTTCAAATCCGAATATGCTTTTTGTAAATGACTAAAAACCATCGCGCTATCTGAACAGCCACAAAAGACTCGCAAAGCTGACAAATCGAAAAATTCAGCCAGGGAGTCTAGTCCCCATTAAAAACCCAAAAAAGTTAGTTCATCTTCGAA